GTACACTGTCCATCAGGTCAAAGCGAAATTCAGAGAAGAAGAGGAATGGCGATGGCGCAAAGATCGTCAGCTGACACACATAAAGAAGACAGGCGTGATGCTCGACCGCAGCCAATGCAGTCGCCTTCGCACGGTGGCTGTGTCAATGAATGATCGCAGGCTTATCTGCGAAGCCTTGACGGGACATGGCTGTCTGAGGGCCCATGTATCCCGATGGGACGGTGGGATGCCGGAATGTCGCTATTGTGGCATGAGCAGGGAGACTTCTATACACCTACATCAGTGTTCTCGCTGGCGGAGGTGGAGAGAGACCTGTCTGGGTAAAGATGCCCTGGACAACCCTTATGATATGACTCGACTGTTGGCATCAAACCGCAGTGTTCGCAAATGGTTGAGGTACATGAGGAAGATCTGGCCGACATCCCGCTAGGGATATCAAGATATAAAATATTCTACTGCTGGCAGCTGGGGGTCTCTGGGGGGCCCTCCTATTTATCGAACTTTCTGCCGTGTAACGCACTATCTACCGGTTCATACCAGGGCTCAGACAGTGACTGAGCCTGCAGCTATACCTCTATACTGGCTATTAATCGCCTGGTCGAAGGGGTGCTGCGCAAGAAGAAGAAGAAGAAGAAGAATGAGCGAGCCTCCACACAAACGGGGGAGGCACACAAAACCTGGGCAGTTATCAAATTCAGAAAGCTGCAAGGAAGAGCACACAAAGGGACAGCCTTTCAAACAAATGCAACAGATGTCTAAGCTCGCGATAATCAAGGCGACGCTGCCGTTTCATGATCACTGGTGATGTCGATATCACCCTCAGGCCTTGGCGGGGTCTGTGGGGACTTCGGCGTGATCGGAGAGACGTTCTGCACCGATTTATAGAGATTCAACTGATATCTCATCCCAAGGAAAATGCCGATGCCTGAAGTAACGAAGCCAGGTCAGCAACACGCTATCATGCAACTCAGCAGCTCACATGCTGTGAACCCTGTGGCGGATAGGGAAATGCTGAAGTAAAACGGATCGAACAAACCAAGATCATACAAATCACCGGCGACCAACGGTCCTACTATCCCACCTGACGATAACATGACACAGTGGAAAAACATCTTGCTGACTTACCAACGTTTGCCGATGCCATCACACAAGAGTTGACAAGACCTCTCTTCTTTGGAGGGGCAATAACAGAATTGTAGTAGGCTTGACCAGCGAAATACAACGATGCTGAGGTGAAGGAGACATTGCCAGTGACGCCCTCAACTATACTCCTACTTCCAGCTTGCATGCAGAGACCGAGAACTATGACTGCTGCCAGATTGTGGACGAATGGCACCACGATTATAATAATCGAGATGAGCATTCCGATGGCACCCACAATCGCGGCAGGAATGAAGTCTGAGAAACACTATCATCGTCGACTAAGCGACAAGGACAAGAATACCAACTGGGATAAGCTGAGACAAACTTAAAAAGCATTGTCAG